TGGATTTTATCCCATAAATTTTCGACTACATTTGATTCTAATTGTGCTACAAGATAGTTAAGCCAAGATTAGCCAGGGTCAGTCTGATCCTGGTTAATAACTGTGCTTCAACTTGGAAGAACAAAATGTCTTGTTTTTCTGCCCCAAAAGGTGGAATTTTAACTGCGGTAAATTCTTCACCAGGCGTATTCTAAACAGGACTGTCGGTCTGCCTCAAGGAGGTTAGAATAGAAGGAGGGAGTGTTCGCGGTTTCCTCCGCTATCGGGGAATGAAACTCCACCGAACAAGCGGCGTCCATGTTTGTAACTTCAGAACATTGCAATACGGCAGTGAAACGTAAATGTTTCAAGGCTGTTCTGTGCATGTAATGTTCCAGTAAAAATATGTTAACTTTATAAGGAAATGCTTCGCTATTGTTAAACTTTTGTTTTAAAGTAATAAAGATGATATGCATAATTTACTATGAACAGAAAATTATTAAGAAATAGTTCGAAATTTAAATGCGTGTGTATCAGTGCTTAAATTGCGCCGGATCCCACCGGAGCCCGGCTCCTGTACTTCTCAATTTTTAAGATAAATTACAATTTTAGCTGGAGAACTAAATAAGATGAGCTTCGGTACTTCTTTTTATAAAACTGAACCACAATTTAAAGGGAAAAAAATTAGAATTCCTAACGTTTTAGTTTAACAATAAGCAGACCTTGCAATGCTTACAGTTAGTTATCCTCGCAGGAAGGAAAATTTGTGTTCTTAAATGTGCCTTAAGTGACAGCGAGTACAATAAGTGTGAAATCCTGAGAGAGGTAAACTGCTCATGCACGTCTTATACATCGTCTTCCCACAGTATCCGCCACAGTGGTAGGAAGTCCTTTCTTACCTCCATGGTATCCACTAATGGGGGGCAGCGTAACCAGCAACATTTAGGAGTCCGATTCAGGACTCATTTACCCCTGACACCCATTTGCCTGATGGCTATAATTATATCAACAGAGAACCGCGGTCAAAGAGAACGTTCTCTCTCACCAAGATTACTCTCATTTTTTTGTTTCCACCCGCTCATACCCTCATTCTGTTTCCTCCTGGAATTTTCATCAGCTATACTTTAAGTATATTTGATTTTTGTGATGACAAAAGAACCCCCCCCCCTACGTTCAGAACTTAAATAGGGCCGGAACCCACCGGATCGGGGCTCCCGTGCTTCTTAGTTTTTGTAATAAATCATAATTCTAGCCGGAACGCACCGAAGCCCTGAATAAGAAGGCTGCGGCTCTTCTTTTATGTAACTGAATAACAATTTCAGTAGAGATTTTTCTCGAAAATTTTATTTTAACAATAAAATTATATTAAAAATCGCGTATTCAATTTCAATTTATCTCTTTACATTTAATTTAATTTTAATTAGTTAATTACTTTAATCTAATTATTTCAATAAATAATAATCAATTATCTAATAATTATCAATTAAATTATAATTAATTAATTATATAATAATTATTGATTAAATAACAATTTGTAAACATTAATTAAATATATATAATTAATTTGATAATAATTAACTATTTAATTTAAAAATTATTAATGAGTTTAATAGTCATTTTATTTATATATTTACTCTTGTTTCTCTCTGCTGACGGTCTTCCATAGGGCTCCGGCACTTCTAATCTTAGAAATTAAGCCCTGCTGTGTATAACATTAAATCCTTTAAAAATGATGTTTCTGCATATTTCAAGGATTTGTTTAGTTTTATTAGCAACCTGTTGGGTGTACTTTTCCAGTTTTTCCTTTTAAGAAGTGATATTTCTGATTTATTCACAATATTATCATAGTGTATTAAAGAATTATTTCATATACAGTTTAAGAGATAGAAAAGAAAGTTATTTATTTTAGTATGCTTAAATACTTCAGATTTAAGCTGAAATACACTAAAAGATAAATTCACATATTTAAGCAATAATTATCTAAAAAATAGTCACAGGTTGCATTTTCTTAAAATAAAAATTTTAAATATATCCTTATCAGAGCCAACAGCAAGAAAATAAATATTAATAAAATAAAACAGATTTATGTGAATTTAATGATATCAGTTTATCCGCGTTTCATATTTATGAATCTCATAGAAATTGCCTTGAATTAAGCTGAATTACAGAAAATATACCTCTATAAATTCTTGGATACATCTTTCCCACATGTTCAATTGTGTTACTATTTTACTTACTTTTATCTCTATACCGCCCAGAAATTTGTAAGTTTATGCAAACAATATTTAACAACAGAAAAGTTTATCTTCATCAAATGCATAAATTATATTCATAACAGTTCATGAAACTTAAAAATGAATAATGATTAATACATAAATAAAAGTATTACTTTATTTATATTATATTATTCTTTATTTATATTATATAGTATACTTTATTTATATAATTTATAAAAGTATTACTTAAATAGTAACACTTGATTTCTTACTTTCCATGAAAATTATAAAACGAATCACGTAAAAGGTTCAAATTATACAATTTAAATCCTAGCATATATCACTGTATGTTAAGGAACGAAGATACCACCTATAAACAGTAACATTAAAATGCATTTAACATATTTGGATTATTATGAAGTCCCTTTTTTTCCAATCTGGAAAGAAAACAACATGACATTGTGATATTTTTAATATATTTTTCAAATTACATAAAAAAAGGGAAATCAATACTTACGCGTGAAAAGTAATCCCAGAAATATTTTTCGAAAATCTATTTGTGCATCCATATGCAACACAAGCTGACATGCTTCAAAAAAGAAATGAAAAAAATGCCGCAATTACAGACTTCCTTGCACAAGTCACATCGATAACAGTAACATGGCCGCCAAGCTTCACCGTGTGAGTTGAACCTTCCCTCCTTCTATTCTAACTTGTTTGTCTGCCTAATTTCATTGTTAGAAGAATTTATTCATCAGAATGGTCACCAGATGTTGTGGACGCTGCGCTCAGTCAATATATTGGATAATTTAATAACTTAAATGATAATTATAGAATGGATTAACTTCACACATTTTCCCTTTTTCCATTTTTTGAAATAAACAAATTTTTATAGTAACAGCTGTGTTTTCTATTTTATGAAGGTTATCATGTTAAAACAAAGCTTTAATATATGGAAAAAATTATAATATGACACACACGTTCCTTTTCCTCTCATTGATAAGACTTGCATCATGTTTATCCATGGACCTTATAGAAGGTGATCAGCGAATAAGCTCTGATTTCAAAATTAAATATCTCTACAGCAAAAATCGATAGAATTATGCGGTAAACTGTACATTTACTAACAAAAATTTAAAAATGGTGTACAAAAGTTTAGAAAATTTAGTTACGAAAATCTTTGACAGATGGCGCTCTGTGCTGAAAAGGAGTAAAAAAATTAATTAAAAAAATAAAGCAGCCTTTGAGATCAAAATACAATTTTTTCAAAATGTTCACCGTTCGAAACAATGAGGTGGCGTAAACGAACAATGAAATTTGACATCGCGTCTTGCAATGTCTCGACGGAAATGGAATCACGTGCAACACCAAACAACGATTCAAGCTCATCTAGAGTAGCAGGATTGTTTTAATAGACAGCGTCTTTCAATATGCCCCACAGAAAGAAGTCACAAGGACTCAGATCAGGAGAACATGGAGGCCAAGCTATTCCTGTGTCAGTAAATTGAGGATAATCTAACGCAATTACTTTATTCCCAAAGTATTCATGAAGAAAGTGAAAACTTTATTTGTTCGATGTGGTCGAGCCCCATCTTGCAGGAACCAGTCAATACCTGGTCGATCCTCCAACGCTAGTTGAGTGCTGACAAATTGTTCCAAAATTGTAACGTAACGTTCAGTAGTTATCGTTTCTCGTACGAAAAAGGGTCCGATAATGCCTCTGGCGTATGCCGCAGCCCATGCTATAACTTTAGGCGAATGCAGTGCTTTTTCTTCACACAAATGAGGACTTTCGATACCCCAAATCTCCAGTTTTGTTTATTAACGATTCCATTCAAATAAACCAGGTGCAGCTCACATAAGTCTATCGTTGTCGATCATTGTTAAAATCTGATTCGCAAAGTCAACCCTTTGTTGCACAGCTTTCATGGGTATGGCCTGATGACTTTGAATTTTGTATGGTAACAGACGTAGGCTATTTTAAAATATTTTTTATGTGCTCGTGTACTTTAAACCTGTCTCTGATGCAATCCGTCGGATGCTTTTCCTAGGATTTTGTTGAACAAACACAAAAACTTTGGCTGCATTTTCAGGAGTGACTATAGTTTGCTTAGGCCCAACATTTCCCTTTCGATCATCAGCCACGCTGAAAGTCCATTCGAATTTCGCGAAGAGCATGAGAATGGTTTTCGCATTGGGTCCAACTGGAACATTGAATCGGTTTTGAAAACTGCGACGTGTGTAGCCGTAGGACTATGTTCTAATCGGATGAAATTCCAGAACCAAAAAAAAAAAAACAGTTGTTCATGGAATACATTATTTCTCTTTCTACGCTAGCCTCTTTTCCTAGCCAACACTTGTACTGATCACTTTCGACTTCGAAGCACATTTTAAAGGCTTCTAAAGATGGGTCATTGCGATTAGAGCGCCATCTGTTAACGATTTTCATAACTAAATTTTTTAAACGTTTGTACACCATTTTTACAGTTTTGCTAATAAACATACAGTTTACTGCATAATTCTATCGGTCTTTGTTGTAGAGATATTTAATTTTGAAATCAGGGCTTATTTGCTGATCATCCTGTAAGAGACCTTCTTATAAGGTCCATGTGTTTATCGTGTCAAAGAAAATAATTCAGGAGGAAATACTGAAAACAAATTCTACGTAAAACTGAGATACAATTATTCTTAGATAAATTATAAAATTCTCCAAAAATAATATGAATGTACATATTAATTTAAATTAAACTCCCGAAAATTTAACGACTAGTGGGACATCTGACAACGATTGGGCGAAATTTTACTGTATAGTTAGTTATTTATTGATTTTCTATAGAGCTTTGGTGAAAACGTAAACAAACATGGCTGCGCTCACGGGAGTTTTTAAAAATGCTAAGCTATCGGGTAAATGTTTCCTGGTATTGAGATAAATGCATATATGAAAATAATTACTGTTATTTAGTTTCTATAGCTTCGAAATTCAAAACTGTATTCCATGTTTTGGTCACTGCATCTTTCTTTCCAAGGTCATCAAGTCATAGCGGTTCTGTAAATACAGGGGCTCCAAAAGTGTTGGTATACCTTCGACTCTGGTTTGAAAATAGTAGCATGTACAAATTAAAATTTTTTTAATCGTATTTCTTTAGACAATGTCTCTATTGTATTGCTCAGAAAATTGTACATGCAATTTAAGCCTTTAAATAATTTATCAGAAATGCAAAAAGTCTTAGGACACTGACAAAAAACTGCAAAGAACACGCAAATTATTTAACGTCTAAGGAGTGTAACACATAATAAACCATGTTTCTGATTTTATTACCCGTTGCAAACACATTTTCGGCTGTGTTGTAATTTCAGCTCTGATATTTTATTATTCTTGTTTTCATACTTTTTTTCTTCTTAATTTGTGTTTGATGGAATGGTATGTTTTCTAATTCATACCTTGAAATCATTCCAGTTATGTTCAAATGAATTTAAATCACAAGATTTGAGAGGTGATTTAATCATCGTTTGTCAATTGTACAACAGCCACATGTGAATATATAACTCAATATGTTTAGAGTTAGCATTTAATTTCTAAAATTAAAAGTACCAGAACTCTATGGAAGGCTGTCAAGAAAAGTAAGCAAAATTAGATGAATAGTATATATTCATTGTTTGAGAATTATAGGAGTTGGAGTACTTACATATCAAAAGGTAGCTACTGTCAAACTATGAAAATTGGTGACCGTTCTGCCAAAGTCGTGTCAGTCACTCCTGCAGAATTCTGAATGAATTGACGCTTTTTTAAATTATGAAACAAGTTTTTGAATTCCTAGCTTTTACATTTTTTCACTTCATAAAAGGCTTTCATTGATTTCTGCTATTTTGTTAGGTTGTTCAATTTTATCAGAAGCTGTGTTTAAAACATTTTGAATTCAAAAACTTCTGTAAATAAGTGTTCCAGTCTACTAGTGTTTTGTTCACCATATTCAGCTAATCCTATCGTATTCATTAAAACACACTTTTTTTTTAACCCCCTTCTTTTTTTTTTTAATCAAAATGGCAGAAAAATATAGCAATAACAATTAATTTATTTCCTAATTCAATAAATACAAAAGATGGCTTATTAAGAATTAATCAGACATAGATCAATTAATAGCAAAGATATTATGAATGTATTTTGCTTTAAGTGCTAAGTACTTTGTATGTAGTTCTGCCTCTTTCTTTTTTTTTTTTTTCCCCACCCTTCAAAAGACAGTAATGCGACTATCTAAAAAAATTTATATATGTAATGTACTGTTATCTAGACAGATAACCTGACTTCAGAATCATAAAGGTCCATTTAACAGTGATTTTGCAAATAAGTGCTTAAGTTTCTTTCTTTTTTTTTAAAAAAAAAATTTTTCTTAATTATGAAACATTTTTTTCTTTTGAGCAACTGTGGTATTTTACTGATCTAACAATGTTTTACTGTTTCTGGAGAAACTAAATACTTCATTAAACTCCGCCAAAAACAAAAAAAGGGAGGGGGATTTCTTGAATTTTTTTCAAGTAAAAAATGGTGGTCTTGTGGGGTAAGCTTTGGTTTGATAACTTCTTTTCTTTGTTTGAATTTGATTTCTTAATCATTTTATAATAATGAAAATGTTAACATGGTGCAAATTTAAATTTTTAGCACTTTTTCTAACATAGTTATCCTTTTTTAAATGAAAGTTATTGGGACCAGATTCAGAAATGCATATATGTGCAGGTATGCATATATGTATGTACATATCTGTTAAGAGATATTATACTCATATTATTTAGTAAATAAATTATTATTATGTTACTCTGCAGCTAATGCACAAGTATTAGAAATTTTATTTCAATTTCAATGAATTTCAATTAATTCAATCTTTGATATATATATACATACATGCATACACGAACACGTGCATCCATTCATACATGCATACATTTCTGAATCTGGTCCCGATAACAGAAGAGTACCTAAATGAAAAGTAACTAGTTTTCTAAGAACATTTGTAGTTTTTTTATGATACTACCATTATGCCACAAAATGCTAGAATGCTTTGAAATGTGAAATATTTGCATAGTCAGTTTTTAAAACATGAAGTCCAACAATATTTAAATTATTGCTATAATTTCAAAGTAAAAATACATAGCAAGCGTAACGTTTTTAAGTCAGTCTCTCAGAAAATATATGTCTGACAACTTTTGTGATTTTTTTTTTTTTCCGGATTAATTTGTAATTTTTAAAATGTTGTTAAAATATTATTTAAATTTTCATAAAGAATAGACTTAAGATATTATTAAAAAAAACTCTTAATTTAAGCTCTATATACTATTGCTTCTACTGCAGAGCAGAAGATGCTTCAGCACTTTTGGAAGCTATTATACAATATGAAAGTAAATAAAACAAGAAATTTGATGCAGCGAAAAAATATCATTACATTATCCACTGATATAAAAAACATGATTATTTATTTATCTATTGCATATGAAATAATAATTTGTCTCTTATTTTATTTTTGCAAAACTCATTAGTAGCTGAGTAGCACCATTTCCTGATCAGTATGTCAGGTGGTATAAATTCATTTCTGCTGCGAGAAGAGAAATTTTAAAGTGATAAAGCAATTTGTTTTTTATGTCTATACTCCTGTAGGTACTGAAGTGTAATATTTAATGCAAGAAATCTTCTTTTAGAGCCATAACATAAGAAATAAACTCTTAGCTCATTAACAAATTTCTTCTTGTAGTGATGAAAATTCCACTCGATATATTATAATATTTTTCTTATAGTTAATTTAAATTTTCTATGTTTTCATATTTGTTAAAAAAAACAATTGCATGAAGTCATCTCCTGAACATAATTTTATATTAATTCAGTATTACTGAATACAATATCTTAAAATTTCTAGTTTTTACTGTAAAATATATATTTATACTGTAAAATATATTTTATACTATTTTTGTTAAGTGGGATTTAGAGCTAAGCAAGGCTCCATTAAGATTTTATTGTATGTACAGAGTGGTGTAAAGTTTTAACGTGTATGTGAAACTAGGTCAGTCAGGGGCCTCAGGGTTTAGTAATAATGATACTAACTCATAAATTAACTTTTTATAAGATAAAATATTGCATTCTTTTTTATGACTTTTCTTTCCTCTCAATAATGTCATGTATAGAGTAAAACTACTTATCATTCATGTTTGTCTTGGCTGGTTGATAGCTTAAAATCTCTTTACATCCTTGTCTCCTTGTCTTGCATTATAGCTTCTTGCAGGAGTGCGCTATGCCATTTGCTTACCTTTTCCTCCAAGATTAGCATAAATATGTACATAGGTTGGGGTAAAAGTCATGGCAACTATTTTTTTTCTTGAAGATACCAGCTCGGTTGGAAAATGTGACATATACAGACGAAAGGACAAGGTCTTAACTACATGTGTGGACAATGAATAGCACTGAAATATTGTAACACATGAATTTATTACAGTAGTATACAGGGCAATATGGCCTTCACCATGCAAAAGAATGATAACACAATATACATAAAGTTGGCATGACAAGCCTGTGACTAAAGACCCTCAATGTAGTCCCCTGCTAGTGTCACCACACGCTGCCAATAATGTGGGAGGTGCTGAATACCATCAGCCTCAGCATTTGCCGCACCATGTGTGAATTGAGTCATCTGTTGGCGCACAGCATTAGCAATGTTGCAAACCGCCTACCGCGTATTGGTTCCTTAATCTTGAGAATGAGATCAAAGTCACAGGGCGAGAGGTCAGGAGAGTACAGTGTGCTCAGTTTTTATACATTCCTTACTATGACAGCATTCATATTTTATGCCGTTCCTACAGAATATTGTATATATTGTCTATCTCTTCTTGTAACTCACCTATAGATTTAATTTAAATTTGCACTACTATTTTAATTATTCGCAGCCACTGATTATATGTATCTATTCATTATTATTATTTCTAACTATGCACTGACTGTATGGATTGTAATGTTAATCATATACTGGTAGCATTGAATATATAGTCTTATTGTACCACACACTGTGAATCTTCGGATTATGGTAACTCAGCGATTTTTTTGCGAAAACTTGGCTACCAATCCTGCTACAGCAACCTGCTAGTTTTTTTTTTTTTTTTTTGGATGCCATTTTGTTTTCACGAAGTAAAGGCATGTTTTTGTTTTTACTCCACATTTTTTCCAACAATCTGCTATGCTAGAACTTTTATGGAACAAATGTGCATAATCATGACGAAGATTAGGTGCGAAATTGTTTCTAAGTGCTTATTAGCTAAGATCATGATCGGAAGTTTCCAGAAAGTAGTGGAACAAACGTGCACAGAAATTTGTTTTTACAGAGCAAATTTATGTATGAAACATATAAATAATTTTTCTCATAAAATAGAAAAGTTTGCAGGAAAATTTTGTAAATCTTTGAAGTCGGTAAAAAGGACATGTATGAAATTACCTGATCGCTAAAAAGTATGTATACTGTGCAAGCTTTTATATCTTCAGCTTGCATATTACCTTTTCCAAGCATGAACATTTGCACGTATAAAATAAATAAAATATGCAAGAAATTACATTAATTTTCATTTCCCTCTAAATTATCAATTATAAAAGTCACCACAAAATAATCTGTGACTGGAACTGTGTACTTCTCAGATTATTGCTAAAGTCCAGCTAGTAATCTTTATCGCCTTACCAAAATGTCGCCAAACTACCTGTTACTATATTCCAAAGATTAGCCCCACACACTGATTTCTACATGCTGTTATTCAAAATTGCAATCTGCTCAGCCTATCGCATTGCAATATGACCACAGTACTGTACTTACTACTACAGTCAAAATTCGTTAATCCGGACTCGTCGGGACTTCGGCGATTCCGGATTATTGATTTTTCCGGATTATAGATCATCAGTTTAAATCTGGTAAGATGGCATGCAGAAATTACAAAATTAAAAATATGAAACCATAATTTATGAAATAAAGAACAATTATGATCTAAAGGGTATCAAAATTTACAAAAAGAAAAAACTTAATATTTATTTGTTTACTTTATTAAACCTTTCAATGTAAGTTGTTTAAGTTGCTTCGTTTCATGTGATAATACTTTCTCTTTAATTATATTAAACAGACATAATTTCTTGTTTAGTTACAAAGTTCCGCTGTTCAAGTTCTATAATTGCTGTGTCGAGAATACCGACTAATTTGACAATCGAAATTTTTTCATTTTCAATAACCTCTGTCACTTTCTTCGCTATCGGAAACGAATTATAATAACGAGGAACTTGTTTTAAATCGAATCAAAGACGGAGTACATCGAGATGAAATATTACATTTAGTAAGGAATTATAAGCCAAATAAAATAAAAACATCTGCCCTGAAGATGAGGATAGTGCTGACAGATCAACTTCCAATTCATAGCACGCCGTGGCGTTTTCCCCCTGCCGAGCAGCGTGAAATTGATAAACAGATTTCGGATTTCAAAACATACTTTTGCTTTAGATCCTTTACCTATTTGCAAATATATATTGGAAATTCTATTTGATATAATCGAAAGTTCAAGCTTACTTTTCTAAAATTGCTCTAACAGTCTGCAAAAAATAATAAGCTGGATCCAATTCGAAGATTAAGGAACAACGCAATCTGCAACATTAACTGAATTAGATAATTTTAGCTTAGCTTATACCGTCCGTTATACATTAAACGTGCATGCGTAAACGTTTTATGCGCACATGCATATTCGCAGCCGTAAAGGTCTTACGCGCACACGTAAACGCCTATGCGCATGCGTTAACGCGACACATGCGCAGAAAGTTTGTAGCTTTGAGGTCCGGATTATGGGTGTCCGAATTAACGACTTTTGACTGTATATGTATTTATAACCCGATTGTACTGTTGCTCGTACTCAAGACAGTCTGCGGTGACACAACAGGTCACCAACATTATACATGCCAACTTTCTTTATTTGTAAATTTTGGTACCACGTACTTTATTATATGTATTTACTTACCGCTAATTTATATTTAAACTTTCTATTTATTTTACTGTAAGCACAACCAGCTATGTACAGTTTGTTTTGAATTTTGTATCTGCTCTGCACCCGATCACATATGGCACCATACTGTTTGTGATTACTTACCACTAATAAATTTAACTAATTACTGATTGTACTGTCAGTACAAAGAGCTATGTACAGGTTGTTTCGAATATTGTGTATACTCCCTGCATTTGATTACACATGGCACTTTATGTAATTATTTACCACTAATAAATACTGATTGTACTGTAAGCATGACTAACTATGTACAGATTGTATCAAATAGTGTATTTACTCACTGTACTTAATTACACATGACACTTAGCTATATGTAAATATTTACCACTCATTTATATAACTATCTGCTGATTGTACTGTAAGCACAAATAGCTATGTACATATTATTTTTGAATATTATATTTACTTTCTGCAATTGATTACACACAGTACTTCATGTTCTACCACTTATGCGTATAACCATTTACTGACTGTACTGCATGCATGAAAAGCTATGTACGGATTGTTTTGAATATTGTATATACTCTCTGCATCGGATTACACATGGCACTTCTCTGTATGTAACTACTCATCACTAATATACTACCATCTACGGATTGTACTGTAAGCACAAATAGCAATATACAGTTTGTATCGAATATTGTATCTACACTTGTTTGCACACGGTACTGTACTATATGTAATTTTGTAATTACTCTCTACAATTGTTTGCAAACGATACTTTACTATATGTAATTATGTAATTACTTACCACTAATATTTATCACTACTTTCTGATTATAATGTATGCACAAATAGCCTTGTACAGTTTGCTTTGAATATTATATCTAATCACTGCACTTGATTATACACAGTTTGTATTAATGTCAGCTTTACTTATCCACTACTATTATACCTAATCAAGTACTTTATTTAATGATCCACCATTACATTATGCAATCATGTTCTGTAACTTCTGAATGTACATTGTAGCACGAAAGTGCAAAGACATTTATGTATACAAAAATTGTGACTGTAACATTTTAAAGATTTTTTATGCGTTCCCAGCTGCATTATGGAGTTCTGCTTCCGCTGTATGGGCATTATTCTGATAGGTATAACCTTAGGTAGGAAGTCCTTACAGCGGTGATCGGTGGGTGCTCCAATTTTCCCCATCTCCAACGTCAGAGTAGCTGCCATACACACTGTGCTTTATGTGGCCTTGCATTGTCGTGTAGAATTATTGCACTGTCTGCAAGATCCGGACGTGTACCCCGAATGCCACGTCATACCTGTCGCACCAGGAAGTCCCTGTAGTACTGTGCGGTCACTGTTCTGCCATGAGGAACAAAATGGCAAACAATGACACCTCTGATGTCATACATGACGATCACCATCAATTTGACTGGGGAAGGATTCTGACGGACTTTCTGCTGCCTTGGTGATCCAGGATATCGCCACTCCGCAGACTGACGTTTCAGTTTTGGTTTGTATGCCCTGGCCCAAAATTCATCGATGGCGATTATTCATGACAAGAATTGATCGCCGCCATGTTGCCAGCGTGCAAAGTGGTCGGAGTATATTGCATAGCGCACCCACCTTTAAACTTCCGTCATTGCATGCGGCACCCACCGCGAAGCGATTTTGCATAACTGTAGCTCATTACACAATATCCCGTGGAAGGTGCGTTTCTCGATGCCACTTGCCCTTTCTAACTCCAGTAATGTCCATCGTTTGTCTTCGTCCATGAGGTGCTCGAAGATGGCATGTGCCAAGTTGGTCCGCACACTCACCGGTCATCCCAAACATTGCTCATCACTGGTTGACACTCGTCCTTGCTGAAACTGTCCTACCCACCGTGCTACTGTACAATATGGTAGGGCATTATTCCCAAGGGCTTCTACTAATTCACTGTGACATTCCATCACATTTCTCCCTCGGAGAACGGCTATTTTGATGTAAGTGCGCTGCTCAACACGGGTTATTTCCATCTCGCATGGCACTAACCAATTGACTGATTTCAGAGCCCTCGCTACCACAGAGTCAGCTATCACAGAGCCATCTGTTGTTCTACATACACACTATGCCTGCAGAACTTCCACACGACACGACACGTATACGTTTTGTGACCCTTTCACATATCTACAAGAAGAAAATAGTTGCCATGACTTTTGCCCCAGCCCTCGTATAATTAATGCAACAGTCTTGTCTACTTCAAACCTGTATACAAATAATAGTAATTATTATAATAATTAATAATTTACATATTTCTTTCAGAATCATATTTGTGTAAATGTGTATGCTTCATTCAATTCATATTTAATTATGTTGATTAATAAAATGTTTTATGCAAATAAAAAAGGTGTAACCCACAAAAATGAATACTTATGTGGTTTGTGTATACTTTTAATGTCAAGTACTTTTGAATGGGACATTTTCATCTCTAACAATCACATTTTTGCTGTTCACCAACTAATTCTTAAACATATGTTAAATTGTATTTTCTAGAAATTTAGTCAGGAGCTAGCACCTGAAATGAATTTTTGTGCATTATATATTACCTTGTAATATGAGATTTACTATTCATTCAAATAAATCTCACCATAATTACTAGTTTTATTTTATTAATTTAATTTGTGTGTGTGGGATGTGATTTGAATACCTAAAACAGTTTTGGTTCTTACCATTTAAATATGTAAATTGATAAACTCTGGTATTAGAAAAATATGAATGAATATTTTTTTAAGTTTTTGTTATGAATAAAACATTAATATCATATACACGGAAAAAGTTATGATGTTGTATGATAAAAACAAATGTTCTATCTTCAAATACTGCGTAATCATATGCAGTTTTAGTTATATATATTTAAAATATTACCTTTTCAGTCAGCCTCATTGGTCAGTTTTCTCGATGCCTTTCAAGTTCTGCTCCGAGGTTTACCTATAGTAAGTGTATTGTTTTAATTGCTATATATTTAACTTTTACTTGATTTCATTCTTTGAAGATATTTGTTATATCTTTGAAGATGTTTGAGTGTAGTGTTTTTAAATGATTTTTTATAATTTAAAACTGCAGTGTATTGAAGAAATTTATAAATAAAAAAATATTTTTTTGCTGTGATTAGGAAATTTAAATAGAATTAATAATAATAGAATAAGTAAATATGATTTAAATACAAATTCATTTATTTTCTTCAATCAGTTTGGTAGTATGCAAACACCTTTTTTGTTGTAAAAATTTGTTGGATGCATTCTGTGTTTTATGTGTTGAATAGCACATTTCTTTATATTAATATTTTTGTTTAAAATAAATGCAGTGAAAAGTGATAAATTTAATTAATATTAATTTAAATTCAGATTCAACAAAAGTGAATACTAATGAGAAAAATGCTTGCTGAATTTAAAGGTAGGAATCAGCATTAGTTTGCTGCCTACGTGCAGGAAGCTTGGTTGCCACATAAATACATTTTGGCAACATAGTTTGTTGCCTTATGAATACTTTTCAGTGAGACATAGGTAATCTTGAGAAAAAAAAAAAAAAAAAAAAAAAAACCAGCTGTTTCTTCTGTACTTAAGTGATCATTGGATATGAAAGTAAAAAGTTGTACAGTACAAAGTCCGAAATCCAGACTCGTCAGGACTTCAGGGATTCTGAATTTGGGATTTTTCTGGATATTGATCAGCAGTTTAAATCTAGTAAGATGGCATGTAGAAATTATAAAATTAAAAACATGAAATCGTGATTTATGAAATAATGAAGTATTTATGATCTAAAGGGTATCAAAACTTACCAAAAAAAAACTTAATATTTATTTGTTTACTTTATTGAACATTTCTTTCAATGTAAGTTGTTTAAGTTGCTTCATTTTTTATGCTAATACTTTCTCATTAATTCTGTAGACAGACATAATCTCTTGTTTAGTTACATTGTTGAAGTCCTGTAACTGCTGTTTCGAGAATTCCGACTAACTTGTGAATCCAAATTTTCTCGTTTTCAGTAACTTCTCTGTCATTTTCTTAACTTTTGGCAGCAGTGGATCTAGAAACATCTAGATTTCGCCATTCATTAATTGATTGATGATTGAGAAGCATTCAATCACAATGAAACACTTCTTTAATATTATCTTCATTTATTACCACTTCTCCACATTTCTTTACAAAATCCGTTATTTGGAAAATTTGTGTTGCGATATCCGAAATCCTTTAAAATTCATGGCTATCATTTATCATAAATTTATCAATCCTTCACTATACATATTTGGCTATGCATCATGAGCTTGGCGACTAACGACAAGTTGTTTCCTTAAATTTTGTCTTGCTTCTATCATGCGTGTGTGTGTGTGTGTGTGTATTTAATTATGGCAAAGCACACGAGGGCTATCTGCCTAAGGGGAGGGATGCCTTTCGTGGAGGACTTTCTAAGGGAAACTGGCTCGTATACACATTACACATGGGGAAAACCACGAAAACGCCCATGCAGCCAGCCCCGTTCGCGGGATTCGAACCTGCTTCTATCATGCACCTAGACAATTAAGCCTAAATTTTATTAGTTTAGTTATTTATTATACTTATTTCTTGTACATGCTTAAGGCTTATCAGAGTTCTAAATAAAAAAATTCCCACATATACTTAAACCTTATTGAGGGCCTGTGCTAGATAACTTACCGCCTGATGCAGTCTCTGTGGCTCCTAAATTCTGCGGGTTCTGATTTTATGTGGATAACAAATCAGTTATTCTTAATTTAAATAGCCCTAAATGTAATATTTGGGTCTATGAGTATCATCAACAAAAATCTGTTTTTAGCATATAGAAAGAAATTTTTGATTAATTTTTTCTTGTCAGCAATTTTTAGCGCATTTAACTTAAATCTGTAATTATTGCCAAGTGTAATGTCAGCATAAAATGTTATTATACTTCTTTATTATTCAATTACTAACTTAAATAAAATGTTTAGGCATCGCTACATGAGTCATTACTCAAGTTTTTCATATTTTGATAAACATGCGGTGATGAAAGTATTGAGTCAGTCTATAAATCTGTGCGCATTTTTTTGGTAAAGTTTAAAATAATATAAAAAACACAATTTAACATTTTAATTATATATATATTTTCCTCCATTATGTACAATGTCTCGCCATCTTGCAGGCAGCTTTTTTATGCCATTGCTGTAGAAAGTGGTTTTGATGCAAAAAAAACTTGAAAGTTCATAGTGTACATCCTGTTTAGAATTTAATTTTTTTTCCCAGTAAAAAAATTTGTAAGGCATGAAATAAGTGAAAATCACTTGAGGCAATATATGGGGAGTAAGCAGGTTGTGTTTCCAATTAAATTCACTAATTTTTTGCGGTGTTGTTTGAGCCATATGTGGTCTAGCGTTATCATGATGAAACAATACTTTTTTTATGTTCACCAATTGTGTTATTATATTATTATTTTTTTGATCAATTCTGAGTTAGGCAGCAAAGTTGTTGTCTATAAACTTCTGAATGAATCGTTTGATTTGGTTCTAACAGTTCAAAACATCCGGAACGGGGTTCATCATCAATGCTGCTTTTTCCAACTTTAAAATTTTTAAATCATTTCTAGGCAGTCCTTACACTAATAGTGTGTTCACCATGTACACTATTAATTTTTATTGCTGCAAACCTGTGGCAGATTCACCACACGAAAATAAAAAAAAGAACAGCACGTTTGTACTGATTGTCTATATTCATCTTCTATGGGTACTAAAATGTGTTCGATATTTACAAAAGCTGGTGATGAACTGAATAATATGTTAGGCAAACAATGACAAGTTTCAACACGTTCAAAATTGTATTGTTTTACTAAATGCGTCATAGTGAATTTCACGCATACTCTTAATGCGCACGAATGCACGAACTTATGGGCTGACCCGATATAATAAATAATGATTCATCATGTTGGCATCAGATCAACGATGTATCTATGTGGAATGTTTCTATTTGAGATGTGTGCCAAGTAAATACGTAGCAATGGAGCCAAATTACTGATCATACAAATTTAGCTAAAATGATTGTTTTCTTCAATAACAAGCTATTTTATTTAGTATTGAAGTGAAATTAAGAATCAGAACTCTCCAGATGTTTTATTATGCGCAGAGGGGGGGAGATCAAATGTGCATGCGTAGAGCCTACGAGAAAAACTTTGTTGGTGGTTTGAGGTCCGGATTTTAGATCATTCCGGATAATGGATGTCTGGATTTCGGACTTTGTACTGTATAATGTAAACCTGTATCATAAGAAAATGTTTGAATTTAATCAATCTTTGCTAGTGGATCTTTCAACTCTTGAGTTTAGAAAATGGGTAAAAACAAATCATATATCAACACTTAAGATTATCTGTAAAAATGTATACATATGTATATTTTGACAGATTGTACACTGTGTCAAACAAAAAAAGGGGGGATAGCTCTATATCTCCCGTTCTACTGGGCCTATTGACAAAATTCAAATTGCATTTTCCATGTCTCAGGGATTTAGGATTTAAATTAGATTTATATATAGCTTTTTTCTAACATAGGTATTTTGACACAAAATAGGACTTTTTCTGAAATAATGTACCAATTGTTTTCCACATCTCAAATTATGCTTAGATATTAAATTTTGTAATTTTTGGTGCGAAACTAAAATTCAGAATTTTACAGAGAAACTAAAAAATTTATTTAGGTGAATTTTTTTTCAGTTTGCACCAAGGATAATTCACTTGGCAAACTTCTTAATTTATGGCAACCTATTTTGAAACTATTAGTCGATTTTTTGGCAGTTTGGCATAATTTGAGTCGTAGAATCGAAATATGGAAAAAAAAGTAAAAATACTCGGTATAATTTTATATTTATTTTCATACGAATACAACAAAGTATATTTATTTATGGTTGTCATAAAACCTTATTTTAACAATGTTTTATTATTTCATATTATAAAAGTACAAAACATTATACAGAAAAATCGGGCTAAAAAGTGTAATGCAAGGGAACCACAGTTATTTTCTAACATATTTTTTGACAATTATTGTGCATATCTTTATTTATTAAAAAAAGGAAATGATAAAAAGATGTATACTTGTTTATTTTATAATTTTGCATTATACTTTCCCTTTAGTGAATCTTTCAATTTAGTCATTAAAATAAATATTATTCAGTATATCTTATTCTATCATTAGAACTGCTGAATCTTTTAATCTTCTGTCAGAACTTGTAAGTTTTTAATCAGTTTTAATCATTAAGGCAAGAATACAATTTAGATTTACAGCTTGTAATGGCAGTGCTTTTAAGTATTTTTAATGCTGTTTCAGCTTTCAAATATATATATAATATATATATAATTTTTATAATATTTATATTTATATATATATATATATATATGTATATATATATATATATATATATTTATATTATATATATATATATATATGTATATATATATATATATATTTCCTTCCAGCTGCATTGTTGCTTTCAGATGTATTTGAATTTTTATCTTGGTTTAAATGTTTCCTTAAATGAATACATTCATCAAAAAAACTTTCTTCCAAATTTTTAACAGAAGTTTTTCAAAAGTCTGTGCTAGAAGTTCTTAATTTTCCAGTAGCTAATTTTGTAAAAAATCATTGAAATTAAATATACAATACACTGTTTACCAATAAGTATTTGGACACCCTTGCAAATGCCAATATCTGTGGTAGGAAACAACATTGGCATTAGTCACATGCAAAATGGCACAAAGTGCAGAATTATTTGATTTCAAGAGTGTAATCGCCGGGTCTCACAAAAATGGCTGTTGCTTAAGGGGGATATCTAGTAAACTGAATTCCCAAATTCGACAGTGGCCTATGTGATTCAGAAGTAGAAAGTGAGCGGTGATTGTCGGTATGTGCCCCGAGTCGGCAGATCCATGAAACTGGGAGCTAGAGATTGATGGATGCTGCCCATAGAAATTCAGGAGAACTACACTTAGATGATGGCCCACATACCCCAGGAGTTTCAATATGCAACCAGAAGTGTTGTTTCAATGAATAGATCCATAAGAAAGCACATCTGGTTGGTTTTCATGGCTGTGCTGCTCCCCATAAGCCTTTATCACAAATTCCAACTGCACTAATCATATAAAGTGGTGCAAAGCACGGTGACAGTGTACTATTGATCAGTGCAAATGGATTCTCTGGAGCCACAAATCAAGGTTCACCCTCTCCCATTCATATGGCAAGTCTGGGTCTGGCATCTGCCTGGAGAACAAACACCTTCTGCCAGGAAGTATTGTGTCCACAGTAAAGTTTGGTGGAGTTGGAATTATGATTTGGGGGTGTTTCTTCTGGTCTGGACTGAGCCCTTTGTCCACATTCATGCTAAAGTAAATACTGCCTGCACTTTTTTTTTTTTTGTTTGTTTGTTTGTTTTATGGATGGCAGTGTGCTTCTTATGTTGTGGCAGTTTTATGGGTTAGACCATAACCCATAAAACTGCCACAACATTTATGGATGGCAGTGTGCTTCTTATGTTGTGGCAGTTTTATGGGTTAGAGCTATGTTACTACATTGAGAGCTATCATGTTGCGAGGTCCACCATGGGATAGTGTGGTGATAATGGGATTAACCAAATAGACTGACTTGCCTAGAGCCCAGACCTGCACATTATCGAGAATCTCTAGGATGAGTTGGATTGCTGAATTAAGGGTGCAATAACCATCCAATATTGGTGAAGGAACTTAAATGTCTTCTCCAAAGTAAGTGGAAGAAAATACCAATAGCCATAATACAAGGGCTTATAGAAAACACACCTTGGAGATTTGAGACTGTAATTGCCATTCATGGAGGCTCTAACAACAATTGAATATGAATTCATTTTGTTTTTTTCTATCACAGGTGTCCAAATACTTATTGGTAGATAGTGTATACTGACTTACATATCATTCATCTTTTTCCTTATAATGCCTAGTTATCAATCATCAATTCCAAAGAAAGTCTTAATTCATTACATATTCAAAATATGCTCTTTTTTATTTATTTTGACAGGAAAATTTTTTATTTGTGCTTTTGAAGTTCTTATTTTGTTACCTATGTGAATTCAGTATCTTTACTTTCTTACAAAATCATCAGAATTATTTCTAATACTTTTTTTACTTAAGATATAAATGATTTACATGGGAAGCCGTATGAAGATGCAGTATGGAAAAAATTCCGAGAAAAGGAAGATTGTCATATTGTAGATGATTTGCTCTAAGACAGGATTTAAAAATTTAATAATAATAATAATAATAATTCACAATCCTAACAGCGGTAAGCTGCTGTTTGCCCATTTGTGGCCACCTGAAAGATAAGTTACAATTTTTATTTTAGTAGGAGTTTGTATTTTTTGGGAATAAAGTAAGTTATCTCTCTCACTCTCTCTCTTTATTTTTTATTTATTTATTTATTTATTTGTACATTTCCATCAAAACTCTGTTCCTTAAAAGGGCTTGCTTTTCTTCTTTTTTTGGGGGGGGGGGATTATAGCACCTGAAGTTGCCAACTATTTTTTTTAATGCTTTTATACCTGGTAAAATGGACAAGTGCCATTATTTCAGTTTTTTTTTTTTTTTTTTTTTTTTTTTTTTTTTTTTGCAATTTGTATTGCTTATTGCTACTTGAAATCAGAAGATGGTAAACAATTTTAGGTTTCTTTCAGCATCTAGATTTCTTTATTCTTTGTATATTTCTTAGCAGTATAAAAAATACCTTTTTTTTTTTTTTTTTTTTTTTTTATTAAGCAGCTTTTGAAGTTGTATTTGCCCTGAAATGATTTCTGTTTAAATAAGTAATAATAATAATATACTTAAAAAATAATAACCCTGCTTATTATTCAGTTATAACAAGCAGAATTATTATTTTTTCAATAATTTTGCAACTATATAAGGACATAGCTTATCTTTATATGGAATGTGTTATAACACTGGTAAATATTTTTAAGCGATGTAACATGTTAATTTTTTTTCTTGTAGGGGGGAGGCTATGTGTGATTAAACTGTTTATTCTTTTAAACTTTACCATAATTTTATATTACTTTTCTAGAAATTGTGAGTGACCCAGAACCTGAAATGGATTTCAAGAGTTTAACAGACCGTACTATTCATCACTTATTTCTGACTGAGATTCTACGAGGTGAGTTTTTAATTTTAATCTCTGTGAATTTGTTTTTTAATAAGTTGGTGTAGCATTAGATTAATCTAATTTTACAAAGCTAAAGCAAATATCTGCTGTGTTATCAATTAAAGTAGACTGCATTTTAGTTTGCTGACTTTTAAATGACAAATAATTTGGTGAATCATTAACACATAGAGTGGGCAGTATAATTGTCATTCAGATAGTACATATTTCAGACTTGATTTCTTTGACTATGGCAAAGCATGCTAAGGCTATCTGCTTAATGTCAGGGATGCTGTCATGGAAGACTTTCTAAGGGAAACTCACTCATATCAACAGTTATATATCAGGATCAGTAATTATATAGGTTAATCAGAAAGTTAGTTGCACCCCTTCATAAAAATTTTCTATCAAAGGCTATTTTGATGAAACTGTCTGGCAGAGATTTAGCTGTATTGTGTGATGTAACAGCTTTCACAAGGCAATTTTAGTTTGTCTGATAATCAGTCGTAAACATGTCTCAACAGCTTCAAGTGTCATCAAAATTAGAAATGTGTGCAGTAAATTTTTTTTATTTTTTTTATTTCTTATTTTTTTATTTTTTATTTATTTATTTATTTATTTTATTTGGATGAAAAGGTATAAATGGTAAAAATGCAATGTCACGTCAAACTGTTGCGAAGTGTTGAGGCATGTTTAAGGACACCCATACAGATATTGACGATGCTGAGCACAAAGAAAGACCATAAACTGACACAAATTCTGAAATTGCTGTTTGCGTGAATGAATGCATTCTCGCAAACACACACATAGCAACAGGCAAAAGCTCTAATGAACTGGATATTTCTCATGGAAGTGTGCATAAAATTATTGCCAATCAACTCTAATTTCATAAAGTTTGTGCTCGAAGGGAACATAAAGGGAAGCGTTTTGAAAGTGTGTTGATATTTCTACAACATTACCAAAACGAAGGAAATGAGTTTTTAGACAAAATTGTGACTGGAGATTAGTCTTGGATTCACCACTTCTCACCTGAAATGAAATGTAGCTCTCTCGAGTGGAAACAGTCTACTTTCCGACTCGAATAAAGTATCGAACTGTTCCATCAGTAGGAAAGGTGATTCTGATGCTGTTTTTCAACCAAGATGGCTTGGTACATACAGAGTTCATGCCAAAGAGTGCCACAATTAAAACAACTTCTTATTGTGAAAAACTAAAACGATTGCGACAGTCATCTTAAAATCGGCAGTCAGGTAAACTGCCGAAAGGCATTGTGCTCCTGCATGACAATGCAATACCGCATGCAGCGAAACAAGCATGTGACCTTCTGGAAAAGTTAAGGTGAGAAGTGTGGGATCACCCTCCTTATAGCCAGACCTTGTATTATGTGACTTCCATGTTTCTGATCCTATAAAAGCAGAACTTTGAAAGCAATGATACCACTTAGATAACGAGATGAAATCTGCAACCCAAGAATGGTTATCGGGCATTGGACAGGATTTCTTTGCAGAAGGCATTGAAAAACTTGTACCACCTATTCACAAATGCTTAAATAACAGAGGTAACTACTTTGAGAAGTAAATTTTGAATGGAATTTTAAGATACAAATAAAAGTTATTGTAAAGTTTCTATCCTGTTTTGTTTTCTTAAACAGTACAACTAACTTTTTGGCTGACCCTCATATAAATATCATAATGCCACATGTGTAAAGAAGTAGCTGTATGAGGATAAAACTAATTTTCTGTGTTAAGAAGAATTGAAATGTCTTTCTTGAGAATACCTTAATCTCTTGAGAAGGCTTGTGTTTAATAAAAGACCGAAAATGAAAGAGAAAATTAACTATTATCTACATAGATAATGAGTATATGACATTAAAATAAAATTACCAAAAGCTCAGAAAATGCCTCACATTCTCTAAAATAATCATGGATTTCTTAAATATGATTGATATGAATTTCTCTTTAGTGCTGCTCCATGCAGTCATGGACTTGTTTTTTTTTTTTTTTTTTTTTTTTTTTTTTTGGGATCAGAAATAGCATATTGAGTAATCAAATAATCATGTTTACATTTTTAGCAAATTCATGCGATCACAAAAGGACTGGTTTATGAAGGTGGGTTTCTGTTCTATTTTGAAGGACTTTGAAATCTGAAAAATCTGAAGAATTTTAAATTGCCAGCTTCTAAAAATAATGTAGACTGTAAACACATGGAAGGAAAGCTTCCAAAAAGAAATATTTTGATGGAAGATGATTATCTAATCATAAGTTATTCACTGAAATATGATAGTTAGAATTGTATTAGAAATACTGTAGTTAGAAAAATATAATTACCTGAAAAATTAAACGTTGCCTAAGTACAAAATTGAAAATGAGCAATGCAAAATTGAGATTTTTCCATAATCAGAAGAGTCTCATTTCCCCCAAATTCGTAACATTAAGAATTCAACTCTAAATACCAGAAAAAATTACACGGTAAAAATATATTTATGGGTGCCCCTTGGCTAGAATTGCCGATTTTTTGGCAGTACATGAACTTCGAGTATGTGCAGTTTTTTGACTTGTTATTTTGGCTTTTGGCTTTGTGTAGTGGGGATTACACCAAATTCGCCTTTACACAAATCCAAAATAACAAATCAAAGAATTGCACTAACTTGGTATACATCTATCTACACATCGACCTATTTTCACTTAAAATTTATAATCTCAATAAATTGCATTTTAAATCAAATGATATAACATAAAAAGGAAATTCATCTTAGAACTACACAAAGGAAATATCCACTTACTTATTTACAAATTTCCCTGTCTTCAGTCAAACAAAATTCCTTAACAGCATCCAAAAACTTCCTAAAATTATCTGAAATAGAATTTGTATACTTTAGTCACCCCATAAATTCACAAAAATAAGGGTGAAAAGTATCATCTGATGTTCGACCATACGCATTTCCTTCCCACAAACAGGACACTTATAATGGCTACTAAATAAACCTTCAGTTACACACAGTCAATTAATGCTTTTTTTTTCCCTTTTATTCCAAATGGTACAAAAACTTCAAATTAATCTTACCACATTGAGCCAGTTTACTGCGTAAACCACAAAATAACATCGTCCAAATATTTGACACGCACAAGCCTTTCCAAATCTTTTCCCATCATTTAAAATTGATCACAGTCACGCAACCAATTATATCATAATAGGGTTTCAATAGCATTCAACTACTCAGGTTACCATACATGAAACAACATCTTAGTGATAATCAAAGGGGCACCACTCTAACCAAATTACACCAACCAAATGTATATTTTGATAATAAGTGCAGTGAAATTTCTCTTGGCAATCATCTTTGAAAGTGGATAACATTTCTGAGAATATAAATAAGCAATAATATTAAGCAACATGGATATTCGTATACAGTAATACTATTTTCATCACAGAAAACAGAAATCTTTTGCTCTGTAGCATTTGGCCTACTGAAAAGATCCAACAGAATTTATTTAATGTTTGGAAATACAGGAACACTACGACCGGGACCCTCGGCTCGGGGCTGGACATTTACGCCCAGCATGCCATTCGAGGTTTGATTTATCCGTGTCATGGAAGACCCCTTAGTCCCTGCTCGGCTTTAAACACAACCCCAGCAGGACAAAGATTCACCACTAAGACAAGTTCAAAAATCGCTAAGACACCTTTGCTTCGAGGCACCACTCCTTCAGCTTCGTTCGTCAGTCCGTGTCCTACCTTGCTATGTCAGTCCCCGGTACGGAAACTGCGGAGGCTGAACCGCCATCGAAGAGGCCCAATACATCAACCATATAACTCCACCACAGCCGAAGGAACGGACACGACAGTACCAGTACGGTCCCTGCCAAGCCTGAACCTACCTGAGTATAAACTCGGGTTCTAGTCCTGTGAAGATAATTTGTTTACCCCCGTGGTTGAGACTGCCTAGGTACAGAGCCTAACCAGTACTTCCCAGGAATTCTCCTGAGTCAACCCCCGGGGGGTGTTTGGAAATACAGTACAAAGTCTTTAATCCAGACTCGTCGGGAGTACAGCGATTTTTTTGTGGATTATAGATCATCAATTTAAATCTTATAAGATGGCATGCAGAAATTATAAAATTAAAAATATGAAACTGTAATTTATGAAATAAAGAGCAATTATGATCTAAAGGGTATCAAAATTTACAAAAAAAAAAAAAAAAAAAAAAAAGCTTAATATTTATTTGTTTACTTTATTAAACATTTCTTTCAATGTAAGTTGTTTAAGTTGCTTCGTTTTATGTGCTAATACTTTCTCTTTAATTCTATAAACAGGCATAATTTCTTGTTCAGTTACAAAGATCCGCTGTTCAAGTCTTGTAATTGCTGTGCACTAATTGTTCAAGTCTTGTAATATGGACTAACTTATCAATCAAAATTTTTTCATTTTTTCTCATTCATTTTCTCTCTGTCACTTTCTTCATGCCTTTATCCATTTTTTGCAGCAATTCCACTTTTTGTTTGATGGACATCGAAACATGCTTTCGCTTTGTAGATCCTTTGGCAGCTCCAGAATCGGAAACTCTTTTTGACATAATCGAAAGTTTAAGCTTACTTTTTATAAAATTGCTCTAACAGTCTGCAAAAAATAATAAGCCGTATCCATTTAGAAGATTAAGGAACAACGCAGTCTGCAACATTAACTGAAATTGATAATTAGATAATTTTAGCCTAGCTTATACCGTCCGTTATACATTAAACGCGCATGTGTAAATGTATTACGCGTATGTGTAAATGTTATGCATGTGCATATGCGTTTACGTATGCATGCATAAACGTTACGTATGCGTACGCATGCATAAACGTTATGTATGCGCAGAAAGTTTGTAGCTTTGATGTCCGGATTAAAGACTTTGTACTGTAGTAAAATTATGCTTCAAACAAAAAACTTTTCTTTGTGTGTTTCAGTTATTCAGATTTTTTTGTCCTGCATTTTTTGGGGGGGGGGAAAGTTTAGTCATTGTACGGTAAACACAT